CAACGCCGACACTTGTAGACACGATGACGATGATAGAAGCGATGTTGGCGACGATGCTGACAGCGACGACGGCGCGGCCAGTGACGGCGCCGACGCCGATCACGCCGACGCCGATGACGGCGTCGTCGAGTCGGCGATGAAGGTTTTGAAAGGAATTCGAAGTGCGCGCGCGACAGACGCGCGAGGGTGGCTCGCATGGTGTTATTTGACACGGATCGCGCCACCCCAGCACGCGCGCAAGGGCGCTCGAACGATTTCGACACGCGCGCGCGAAGCCCGTTGGGTAGCACTTTACGAAGATATTGAAAAGCCAATGGTTTTCTAGAGAATTCGCATGAGCGCGTGCGCACGCTTGCGTTGAAAGTCCGCGTTGCGAAACCATGTGTTGCTGCATGTTTTTGGACACTTGATTTCGAAATCTTTCCGAAACCGATGGTTTTGAAGAATTTCGACACGCGCGCGCGACGACGCGCGCGCATGCACTTCGCCCCATCTGTTGCAGAGGATTCTCGCGACGGCGCGCGCGCAAGGAATTTTCGAACGACTTCGACGCGCGCGCGCGAAGCCCGTTTGGTCGCACGTTTTGAAACCTTGAAAAATAAACGCATGGTTGTGTTCAGAATTCGCAAGAGCGCGCGCGCATGTTTTTTTGTTTTTGAAAATCCGCGTAGCGAAACCCTGTGCTGCTATATGTTGTTTGGACACTCAATTTTGACACCCTTCCGAAACCGAGGGTTGTTGAAGGATTTCGGCATGCGCGCGCGACGACGCGCGCGTGCACTTCGTCCCGTCTTCGGCAAGGGATTCTTGAAAACTTGTGATGGTGGGTAAACGAGTGCGCGCGCATAATACTTCTGGAAAAAATGGCGGAGGGGGGGGGGGGGGGGGGCGATGCCATCCTGGCTCATACCTATATATATATATATATATATACATAGAGTATGCGTTGTGTAATGTATGAGGCGGAGCAGGTATGGTGCTATACATGGCGCGAAATCTACGTGGAGCAATCTACGTTGTGCAATCTAGGTTGCGCAGTTTATGTTGTGCAATGTATGTGGTGCGACCTGTGGTGTGGTACTAGATGCGTTATGCCATATATGTGAAGAACTCTATGTTGCGCAGTCTACGTGGTGCTATCTAGATTGTTAAAAAGTTCATGCAATCGATGTTATGCAATCTACGCGGTGCTATCTACGAGGCGCACTAGATTGTTACGAACGAGTTGACACACCCCATGCTCTTGTAAAGACCCCACCCACCCACCAGCAACTTAGTCTGCAAAACCCACGCGATGGCAATTTCGACGAGAGCTTAGCGTTGGCTGGCGCATCTCTGCGGCCGCGCCAACCCATGCGCGCGCGCAGCGGCCAGCTTGTTTGGCGCGACCGACGCGGCCGCAGCGACGCTGATCGCTAGGCGCATCCCAGCGGGCACTTCAATGCGAGTCGGCGACTTGGGCGGGCGCGCGATCATGGCAACATCGACAGCGGCAGACACAACGATGGCAGTAGCACTGCTGGTGATGTTATAAACAACGACGAAGGCGCTGCCAGCGCAGGCGCCGATGCTGATGACGTCGCCAACGATGACGGCGCCCTCGCGTCGGCGATGAAGGTTTTGGAAAGAGGTCGTTCGAAAAGCGCGCGAGGCCGACGCGCGAGCGGGCGAATTGCATTATTTGACACGGATCGCGCCCCCCCCCCCCCCCCCCTCCCACACACAACCACACACACACACACACACACACAAAGCACGCGCGAATGATTTCGGCGTGCGGCGCCAGAGGCCGGCCTGGCAGAATGCCATGGACACGATGAAAACCTCTGGTTTTCATATCCGCAAGAGCACGAGCACACGTTCTCTTGAAAACTGACGTTGCGGAACCATGTGTTTCCACTTGTTTTTGGATACTCGGTTTTGACATCGCTACGAAACCGAAAGTTGTTGACGGATTTCGGCACGCGCGCGCGACGACGCGCGCGGGCGCACTTCGCCCCGTTTTGTTGCAAAGGATTCTCGCGACAGCACGCGCGCAAGGACTTTCGAAAGATTTCGATATGCACGCGTGAGCGAAGCCTTTTTAGCAGCAGTGTGTGGACCTCTTGAGAAGCAGGCGGTTCCCTCGACAAGTCGCAAGAGCGCGCGCGCGAGCTTCTCTTGAAAACCTGCGTTGCGAAAACAAGTGCTTCTATATGTTTTGGGGATACTCGCTTTGGGATCCCCTACGAAACCGAAGGTTATTCAAGGATGTCGGCGCGCGCGCGACGACGCGCGCGCGCATTTCGCCCCATTTGTTGCAGGGCATTCTCGGAAACTCATGATTGCTGATAAGCGAGCGCGCACGCATAATAATCTGTTGCAGAGGATGGCGGGAAGGGGCGGATACCAGCTCGGCTGGGGTGGTATGAACTCATATTTAGGATGCACGATGGGGCAGAACAATATGCAAATTGCAATACGAAAAGGGATGCGGATAATCCTGGGGGGAAGTAGAATCTAGCTTCGTTTGAGAACGGAGTGTGTGTGTATATATACACACATGGTGCAATTGACCACGCTGCGCCGCGCGTGACCACCCACCACGCCCGTGCAAAAATCCAATCCCACCCACATCTTGGTGGGCAAAACTCATAAGGTCGCGACAGCAGTTGCAGCGTGGAGCTCGTCCGCAAATTTCATCGAGCTCACTGGCACGCGGACCCTCGTGGCGCGGGGGGGAAGGCCATCTTGCGGTAGATAGCGCGGACGACAGCGTCGACAAACGACGATGACGTGGTTGGCAGCATTTATAAGGTTGCGAGTACAATTATATCGTGGAGCTCCTCCGTTGACTTCATCGTGCTCATTGGCGCGGACGCTCGTCGCGCGGGCAAAGTCCATTTTGCGGGAGACAGCGCGGACGACGGCGTCGACAAAACGATGGTGAGAATGACCACGACGCTTCCGACGGCAATGATGACGACGACGGTGCCCCGCATGATATTTGACAGGGATCATGCCTCTGGCAAGCGCGCGAGGGCATCATAATAAAATCGACATTTGCGCGCGAAGGCCTTCCTGGACAGGAAAACTTGAAAAAAATTGGGTTTCCGTGGGTTCCGCCAGAGTGCGCGGGATGAAATGTTAAAAACTCTTAACCATTGGGTTTTTGACACTTGTACGCTGGAATCGCCACGATAACAAAATCTGTGGGAGGATTTCGTCTTGCGCGCGCATGTGGCCCGCATGGTGTTTTTTTCATGGGGATGCGTGCATTCAGCCCATCTTGAATCAACGCATGTGCACCGCATGGTCTTATTTGGCAGTGATGAGGGGGGGACCGAATACCCGGACTAGCTAGGCTGTTACGAGTTCATATGGAAAATAAACGAGGAGGCAGAATCATATGTAAATTGCAGTACCCCAGGGGGACATGGTAATCCCCAGAGGGGGGTAAAATTGATTCCTACTTTTCACATATATGAACATATATATATTCGAAAAATGTAAACAACATTTATGTATACAACAAAAGAGAATGGACGGGGCGGCGACGGCGACAACATAGCAGCTAGACCGACACACCAGCCGGCCCAGACGACGGGCGGCGACGAGGCAGCGACGGGGCGGCGACGGCGACAACATAGCCGCCAGACCGCCACGCCAGCCAAGACGACCGGCGGCGACGAGGCGACGACGGGGCGGCAACGGCGACAACATAGCCGCTGGACGGCCACACCAGCCCAACAGCTTAGAAAAGAAATAAGTAACCCTAAGTGCAAGCACTGTTTGGAGAATCAAAAATCGCAAGCTTTACCAAATGTATCGGGTGTCCATCTCCCGACTCCTCATCACCCAGGGGGGAGGAGGAGAGCCTCCTCCTCGCCCTCATCATCCTCATCAGCAAACGACATCAACATCAACATCAACATCAACATCATCAGCAGCAGCAGCAGCAGAAGCATCAGCATCAACATCAGCATCATCATCATCATCATCATCAGCAGCAGCAGCAGCAGCAGCATCAGCGCCATCATCATCACCACCACCACCACCACCATCATCATCATCATCATGTTCGTCATCATCATCCTCATCATCATCGTCGTCGTCATCATCATCCTCATCATCATCATAATCATCATCAGCAACATCATCATAGTCATCATCATCAGCAGCATCAGCATCATCATAATCATCATCAGCATCATCGTCGTCTGCCCCGCTCATCATATGCATCATCGACAGCATCATCATCACCATCATTATCATCGTCATTATCAGTATCCCCATCATCATCACGGTTATCGTCTCTCCCTCACCATACTCATCATCAACATCATCATTAGCATAATCATAATCGGCAGCAGTAGCAACAGTATCATCATCATCGGCATCATCATCGTCAGCATCATCAGTATCATCATTACCATCATCATGTTCATCATCATCATCCTATTCAGAATCCTCATCATCATCAACAACGCCATCATCATCACCCTCATCACCCTCATCACCCTCATCACCGTCATCACCCTCGTCCTCCTCATCACCACCATCATCATCGTCATCGTCATCATCATCGTCATCATCATCGTCATCGTCCTCCTCCTCCCCCTCCTCCTCATCACCATCAGCGCCATCATCATGATCATCCTTATCATCGTCATCAACATGATCAGAATCATCATCGTCATCACCATCATCAGCAGCATCAGTATCATCAGTATCATCAGCATCATCATCATCATCACCATCATCATCATCAGCATCGGAATCGGCATCATCATCAGCAGCAGCATCATGTTCATCGTCATGATCATCATCATCATCATCATCATCATCATCATCATCATCATCAGCATCATCATCATTCGGATCACCCGCATCACCCTCATCTTCCACATCACCCTAATCACCCTAATCACCCTCATCACCCTCATCACCCTCATCCTCATCATCACCACCACCATCGTCGCCATCGTCATACTCCTTGCCATCCCCCATCATGGCAGCGCCTCGGCACATGCCCACGCGAAGACCCGGCGGTGGTCCTCTGCCAGGTGGCCACCGACGTGAGGGGCCATGGCGCCCTCAGCCGGACGCGCTCGGGGAGGAAGGGAGGGGAGGGGAGGGCAGGGGAGGGGAGGGGAGGGGAAGGCAAGGGAAGGGAGGGGAGGGGAAGGGAAGGGAAGGGAAGGGGGGGAAGTGACGGGGGAGGGAGACAGATAGAGAGAGAAGGGAGGAGGAGGAGAGGAGGAGGAGGAGGGAGGAGGAAGAAGGAGGAGGAGGAGGAGGAGGAGGAGTAGGAGGGGGAGGAGGAGGAAAGAAGGAGGAGGAGGAGAAGGGGAAGGAGGAGGAGGAGCAGGAGGAGGAGGAGGAATGGGGCGAGGGAGGGAGGGAGGAGGAACGAAGATGGGGAGGAAAGAGGGGGAAGGAGGGGAGGAGGAAGGAGGGAGTGAGAAGGGAAAGGAGAGACGAAGGGGGAGGAGGCGGAGGGACGGAGGGACGGAGGGTGGAGGGAGGAGGGATGACCACCCCTATCCTGGATCGCGATGACGGCGACCTGCGTACCCGATCCGAGCACGAACATGATTTCTACAACATACTCGATCCGAACACGAACATGGTTTCCACTAGAGTTTCTGCATCGGTCGGTTCTCGGCCCCGTTGGTCACGAGGTCCTGTCCTGCTGGTGCAGACATCCGTGACGCTCTCGCGTTTCTGCTCAATTCACCCCGGCCCGCTAAAGAATCCGAAAGATTCCCTGCCAAAGGATTTCCCGTGGAATCCCAAGAGCTTCCTCCGGAACCCAGACAACTTCCGAAAAAAATCCCCAGGAGTGTCAGAAGAGCTCAAAATGTGATGAGCCTGTGTTCTACGCACGCTGGCAACTGCATGTCCAACAGCCGACAGCCCCGCAAAACGAGGACTTCACGAGAAACCGGTACATTGGCACGTCCGAGCAAACTTGAAGGGACCCTGGGACACACAAATTGATACACATAAATCCCAGGATTCCCCTTTATTTTTCCACATTTTCTGGGTTTTCGTCTTTCCCCCCACCCCCCACATTTTCTTATTTTTCTGGGAGTCGACGATGAATTGTGTCTGTGTGTTTTTCCCCTCCTGAAAACTTCCACCGTGGGTCGAAGCATCCGCCACTCGCCGTCCTCCCCCGCTGGATGCGGCAGAGCCCCTGCCTGCAAGCGACAGCGGCCAGGCTGCCTACGAAAGGCGCCGATAGGACGAGAACGATGCTCCAAGACGATTGGCTCGAGGTACGCTTCAGGAGCTCTGGAGCATCTGGAGGCCCTCGTCTCTGGAGCTCTGAAGTCCGCGCGGGGCCACAGGGAAACCTGGAAGCCCTCGAACGCATCGTTATTATGACGTCTGGCTGCACTGAGACGACGACGACGACGACGACGACGACGACGACGACGACGACGACAGCAACGGCGGCGGCGGCGGCGGCGGCGGCGGCGACGACGACGACGCGCCGCAAAGGGTGGTTGGCCTTCAGCGCCGCGAACAGTCCGGGCTGGCGCTCCCCGGCCACCGCAAAGGCCCACGCCGCCTGGGCAGGGAGGATAAGGAGGAGGAGGAGGAGGAGGAGGAGGAGGGATGAGTGATCAGGAGGAGGAGGAGGTTTCCAGGCTTTCGACTGCTTTCACCGCGAAGACGCTGCGCAACTCGCCGCCGAGCAAAAAGAGGAGGAGGAGGAGGAGGAACAGGGAGAGGAGACGGAAGGGACTGAGGAGGAGGACGAGGAATAGGACGGGGCGGAGTCGAACGAGGCAGCAGGACCCGCCCAGTCTCGAACCCCCTCCCTCCCACAACATAAGGGCCAACGGTGGGACAACTTGAGATTGGGACTGGAACGCGTTCCCACATAGCGCACGGAAGGCGCTCGTGCGCGGAACCCCGCTTCCGACGACCCGGTGAGGGAACCACACAAAAAAAAAGCCGGCCGCGCACGGGCGGGAGCGGAACAACAAAAAATCCGCGCGCGGCGATGCGGCGAGAGCACAATTGAGCCATCTCCGGGGCGTCCAAAGTTTCACTGCACAGAGCTTGCAGACGTGCTCCAGCGGATTATTGCGTGGATTCTGGTCAATGCAAAACTCCGAAACGGCGAGCGAAAGACGAAGTGAATTTCACGTGGATTTTGTTTAGCCTTCATTCCTGGCCGAAAAAAATGCCGCACGACATGTACTTCGAACTCTGGAACGAAATCCTCCAGGACACTCCGGGCCCATCCTGTTGCGTTCCGCACGAAAGCCGCTCTGCGATGTTGGCGCCATGAGGTGTTCTGCTGGGCGCGGCGACACCGAAGTGTGTGCCGCGCCGAAGCAGCACTGCCCGAGTTCGGGCGCAAGCTGCGCGGCGCGCCTGGGCGAGCACTGCGTGTCGCCCGCTCCCGCACGGCCCTCAAACGGGGACTCCACTAACGGGTACTTTGGCCAATGGCCCAGCGAACCCAACCCTTCCCGATGTGGGCAAAGCTGCAATGCAAGAAAAAGGCCCTAAAGTGGCAACTTTCGGCAAAAATTCAAAGTACCCGTTAGCAAGTACCCGTTACGGTGCCGTTGAGCTCCCGCACGGCCCTTCTCTCCGGGGGTGCCGCCTTCCCTCGGCTCGGCGAGCGGCGCGTGCGCCACGCCCCACCCGCGAACGCCACCTCCCGGCCGACACCCGTACACCTCCGGGGCACGGGCGGCAGGCCGCCCGCTCGCGCGCCGCCCCGCCCCGGACGACTTCGGCGAGGGAGAACGACGCGCCGCGCCGCGGCGGCAGCGCCCTTTTCGGGCGAAAAATCTGGCGGCGCCGAGGCGGACGCGAGACTTTTTCGCCCGCTCGCGCGTCGATCGGTTCTGGAGCGAAGAAGGCGCGCCGCTCCCAGGCTCCTCCTCCTCCTCCTCCTCCTCCTCCTCCTCCTCCTCGGGAGCTGTCCTGAGGCAAACTGAGCGCGGCGCGGGCCTCTGGGAGGCCTCTCGTCGCCATGACCCGACTCCCTCCAAAACTCTAGCCAGAGCGCACCCGAAGAGAACGAGGCGGTAAAAGAACCGAAGCGCAACGCCGGCGCGAACGGGCCGTTTTTTTCAGTGCGAGCCGAACCGGACCGGTCGCTCGACGCTCGAACCGGACTGGTCGCTTCGATTTCGACTCACGGGGATGTTTTTGAGTGTCAGTTCCCGTGTAAATGACAGCCGCTCGAAAAAATTACAACAAAATCCGGAACGAAATTCGCGAAAAGATTCTGGACTCTTTCCTACTTTTCCGATCGAAATTCGCTCTGCGACCTCGGCACCATGAGAAAGCGCAGGGCGCAGGCTTCTCGGAAGTCTGCGCCTCCGTTCGCGAGGCCAGCGCGGCAGCTCGCGCAGCCCCCGGCACCGTGCGCTGCCGTCGCCGCCGCCGCGCCGGCGTGCGCGCGCCAAGGTGCCTCCCAGGCAGCGGCGCAGCTGGAGAGAGCCACGCGCGGCCACTGACAGGCGCGCGCGCCCGCGCACGAGGGCGTCGCGAGCCTGGCCCGCCCGGGCCAAAATGGCTGCGAAGGGGAAAGGGGGGGACAGGGGAGGAGCAGGGAGGAAAGGGAGAGGGGCAGCGGGACCCGGGCATCGGGCGCCTCGGCTTGTTCGAGACATGAGCCACCCGAGATCTCGACACCTACCCAGGGGCTGGCGTTTCAGCCTGCGACGGTCACCGGGACGGTAGGGCCCCCAGGAGCCGAAAATGACCAACAACACTCCATCGTCTGACGGGGTCTGGGTTCTGGGCGCCATAACTCGGGCCTCATGCGGCCGTTCGGGACGACTCGGGCCTCCCCGGAACGCCCTCGGCGAGGCACAGGTGCAGGAAAGCGCCATGATGCTGGAAAGCCGCCGAGAACCGTCAAAGCTGCCCGAAAACCTCGAAAAACTCCTGAGACCTCCCGAGACCTCCCGAGGCTGGAAAACCTCCGAGGGGCAACGAAAACGTCTGATCTTTCTGCCTCGACTGCGAGGAAGCCCGCAAGGAGGAGCAGCGCCGCCTCCACCAGCTGCTCGGGGCTGGCTCCGCCGCAGCGCTCGATGACGGCGTCGCCTGGCCACGCCGCTCTGCGCTACCGGCACGGCAGGGAGGGCGAGGGAGGAGGTCGTCGTCGAACTTGGCGGCGCGCAGCGGGGGGTAGGGGGAGGCGGGAAGGCTTCTTAGAAGGAGGCTGATTCTTAGAAGTCATGGGTCTTACATGTACAGACAAGGCCCACGCCTTCTAAGAAGCAGCGGTGTTTCTGAGAAGCCTTCCAACCTACCTCTACCTCTTCTGCGCGTGGCCGACGAACGTCGGATGGGGCGACTGCCAGTTGCACGCAAGGGTGACCCTGGGCAAGAGTGGCCCATGGTGCGCGGCGTTGCGGGAGGGGAAGGGGGGTCGAAGCCAAGCGCACGAGCCGTTGTTTTTGTTTCCCCTCGCATGCAGCGAGCAAGAGACCCCAGCGGGCCTGCATTCAAAGTCACTCCAGCGCAGGGCCACTCGTGCGCGCAGCCAGGCCTGCTGAGGCGGGCAGAATGGCGCGAATAGCCACTTCCGCCACCGGCCACCCCGAGCCCTGGGAGAAGAGAAGAAAGAAAGAGAGGGCGTAGCGGGCAAGGCAGGGGCCTGGCGCGCAGAAGAACAACAGGGTGGGAGGAGGAGGAAGAAAAGGCGCACGAAGAGGAGGAGGAGGAGGAAGAGGACCACTGGAAACCCAAGAGCCATCAACAATGTTGGAGTTAACCTTCCATCCATGCTCCCTCTCCATAGGCCCCTACAACGGTTCATTTCCATTGAGGGAACTGCCTGGAAGACAACAGTTTGAAGATCCTGAAACGTGCCAAAACATTGCTTTCGGGATTAGACGCCACGTATCAACTTGACTATTGCGTCTTGACGATTCAGAATCGTGACAGGACGCCATTGGTTGGACTTCAACGAAGCAAATCCACATAAATGTTGCGCCCGCATAATCCTGAATCCGTCCAAAACACCATCTCTGGTACGCTGATCATGGGAATCCGCGAAACTTCTGCTAACGTTTAAAGCGAATGTGCGCGGCGCTGAGGCCAGAGCCACATTTTGAAAACCACCCGCCTTCAATCCGTGAAAATCTTACAACTGTTTAAAACGAGTGTGCGCGGCGCTAAAGCGAAAGCCACATGTTGAAAACCACCCGCCCTCAACCCGTGAAATTTTTGCCATTTTTTCCACACGAATGCGCGCGGCGCTACGGCCAGACCCACATTTTGAAAACCACCCGCCCTCAATCCGTGAAAATATTGAAATTTGTTTAACGAACGCGCGCGGCGCTAAGGCGAGAGCCACATTTTGAAAACCACCCGCTCTGCATCTGTGAAACGGCTGTCAATGTTTAAAGCTTCAGAATCATAAATGGTGAGGAAGTCTCAGGCGAAACGGCCCGCCCTAAAAACTGGCCTCGGGGTGCGACGGGGAGGAGTTATCTATAAGGAGAAGGAATGGAAGAGAAGGAAAAAGAGCAGGAAGAAAAGGAAAAAAACGAACCGGAGGAGGAAAGAGAAAATGACGGAGGAAGGAGGAGAAAGGAGGAAGGGAGGGAGGGAGAAGAGAAGAGGGAGGGACGAAGAGGGGGGGGAGGGAGGAGGGAGGGCGGAGGGAGGAGGGAGGAGGGAGGAGGGTGGAAACAGGAGGCAGGAAGCAGGAGGGAGGAGAGAGGAGGGAGGAGGAAGGAGGGAGTAAGGAGGAGGATTTTCGGATTGCGCTCTGATTCGCCGAGGAGACGGTCAGCTTGGCGCGGCACTCACTAGCTGCTGGCAGAAACACGCGGCATCTAGCAGCACGGGCGCCAACGTTTGGTGAATCTCCCCGCCCCCGTCACCTCACCCGCACCACCCCCATATCGTCGGAAGGCGCTCAAGGCGCACTTCAACGCAACAGGATTAGGGAATAGGGAAACGGCAAGAGGAGGCTGATCAAAGAGGGGGGCAGATGAGATAGCCTGCAACAGGCCGACAGGGCAGCTAAGCAGGCGCGTGCGAGGCAGGGGCCAGCGGGAGTGCACGATTTTCGCACGCTCGACCTGTGTCCCATGCCTACCTCATCGCCGCAGTGCGAACTACGTCCCCGCCAACAAACCTACCTATACCCATGGGAAGTGGGGAAGGTGAAACTGCCTGGCTTGTCCGCTGCGCGGGCAGGGCCTGCACGCGTGTCTGACCGCCCCGAAGGAGGTTCGCCGTGCCTGGCACGGCGCCCGAAACCTCTCGACCTGGGGCGGCAGCTAGAGATCGAACGATAAAAGAAGCACCAAGAGGCAAGAGAGGCCGACAAAAAGGCAGTTGAGTGGGGGGCGGGGGCGAGGCAGGGGCCAGCGGGAGTGCGCGATTTTCGCGCGCTCGACCTGCGGCCAGTCCCTGCTCCAACGCCACAATAGAAACCCCGCCCCCGTCAACATACCAATCCCACCCCCACAGTAAGCTGAAAGCGAGGCAGGGAAGTGGGGAAGTTGAGATGGCCTGGCGAGCCCGATGCGCGGGCGCGGGCAGGCGCGCGCGCCTGCCCGCCCCGAGAGAGTTTCGCCGCGCAAGGTACGGCGCCCGAAACCTCTCGAACTAGGGCGGCAGCTGGAGACAGGACGAAGCGAGAAGCGCCGAGATCGCAATCGAGGCAAGGAAGGCAGCAACAGCATGGCCCTGAGTCATCACGCCGCAAGTCCCCCGGCGTCGCATGCCACCAGAGAGCGGGCAGACGGAGAGAGGTGGCTGAAGGAAGCGGCACAAAATACAACGGCAACTTGTTATTATGCACCTCCACCTCCCCCACAAAACTGAACAACAATCCCCAACATAGCGTGATAGACGACAGGCAGCTACTTATCCGAACAAGCCCCTGCCAAAATATGATCCAGGGTCCAAGGGGCTGATTCGCGCAAGCGAGCCTGTCTCTCTTCCTGGAGTTCAGCGGCTCTTCCGCCACGTGCCCGCGCACGGTTCTGCGCAATGCGCTCCAAGCCTTCAGGCGCTAGTGGCACAGGGGCGGGCGGGAGGGGGGGGCTGTTTCCCTCTGCGAGTCACCAAGAAAAGCACGCGCCTCCACATACTCCTGCCCCTCATCAGCCTCGGGCGGGCCTGTAGGTCTAACCTCCGCCGTGTCATCGCGAACCTGCGAGGTGGCAGAGGTTGCCTGATCTGATGTCGGGGGGGGCATGTAGCGGTCGAAAGCGATCGAGCTCGGGGTCGCGTCGGACACGGCGTGCGCGCCGAGAAACAAAGTCAGGAACCCATCCCTCTTCTGCGCCAGAACAGGGATCCCAGGAGACAAGGAAGCGTAGCAGTCCGTCACGCACTCGACCGCCCTCCCCCATGTCGCCCAGAACGATGGGCTCAATACTGCCCACATCCCCCTTCCCACATGCCACGCACTGCATCAGCGGTGGCAGCAGCGATGCACTTGCACAGGCTGGTGGGATACGTCTTCTTTCTGGCTGCGCGCCACTCCCTCCTATCCCTATCATGCCCAAGAAGCGTTTCGCGTTCGCCCCTACCGCGCGAACATCTGCCGTCTCCAGGGGTCGCAAGCAGGGCGGCGCGCAGCCCTGGCAGTCCAAGTGCAACGATCCTAGCGGGGGGCCCTTGACGTCTGACCATGTTCACACTGATCAAAATCGGTCGTCGAGACTGCTGGGGACGACTGGAGAGCACGCATCGGATGGCAGGTGAACGAGCTGACGGCATGAAGCCTCCATTCACACGGCTGGGGGTGCTCAAGCCAATACGACGTCCCATCCTGCATGTGTAGCGAAGAGCTCCAGCATTGCATGGTAGAGCGCGCTGCCCACCCACAGCTGTTCCATCTGACGCTCAGCAACTGCCGTATTACCCCAAAAGTGGTCGTGCGTACGCAGTGGCGGTGGGCCTTGGCCGTCTGCCCATCGAGAGGCAGACCAGGTCTCACACAGAGGCCCGCCACCCGACACCACCACCCGTCGTCCAAGGATGCGAGACCACCATTCTTCATGAGATCCCCGACCACTGCATGTATGGCTATATCCACAGACGGGGCATGTCTCTCACTATGCCTGTACATCCCCCGCCCTCGTCCGTCCACATAACAAATTCAGAACAAACTATTCAACTCGTCTGACGGCCCTCGGCATGGGCTCGGCTGCAATGCCAGTGTACCGCTCTGTCAAGAAAAGACGACTGGGGTATCTCTCAGCGGTGCACTGCACATGGTTGGCCGGCGGCGGCGGCACAACAGCGGCATTCACAGGAGCTTGTAGGCAAGCAGCAAGCCCAGCTGGGAGAGCGGGGTCTGCGGCCGCAATCTCCAAACGCGCAGTGCCATGGTCCATCGTAAACATCACTGCAAACGCACGCTCTGTGATGATGCCAGCTGCACGAACTGTCGGCACAACAACGCGACGGCGAGACGCCTGCACACCTGGGGCCCTGCCTGTCATGGAGGCTGGGAAATCGGGGCGTGTGATAAGATAACACGGCGCAGCTCCTGAAATAGCAACACCTGGTACAGCAACTGCCGCGGTAGGACCACTCACCCGTATAAGTGAACAACGTGGGGGGGTCATGTGCTAGGTGATATACTAGGTGTGTCCGAGCATGAAATACAAATAAGCATGCATGGCATTGTCCGTCTGGTGACGCCCACGCACGTGCTAGAGCTGCGCTCTGACGGTGGATACGCGCCACATGCACACGCAATGCCCCATGCTTTTGGAAAGCACGCGCACACCATGGACGCTTGGCACTGTCATCTTCTGTGTAGTCAGCTGCACATGTAGGTCGGTTTACAAGAAGTCCATTAACGTCCGTCCAAACACGCTCTGGCACTCCCAGGGGACAGACTTCCTGAAAAAAATGTTGCCTCCCCTGCGGCCGCCTCAACATTTCGAGTATGAGATTGAGCCGTACCGTGTAACGCCGTTTTGGTAATGCGTCTCCAAGTTGTTTGATTTCTTACGATGAGGGACTCCGAAGCACTGAAATCGTCAAGCGGTGGCGGGATGGAAGCACAAGCTACAGCAGCAGCACGCAACCACGAGCAATCACCCATGACCATTCCCAGCCAT